CTGGCAGGTATTTCTCAGAATCTCTACCGCAGAAAAAAGTTGTATTTTTACCTCGTCAATCTGCTTCTGGAGTATTTCGTTTTCATGTCGTAGATGTTCATAGCGTTTCTGATCGGATTTTGACAAACCTCGCAACACAGCGTTTCCATTGGGGTGAGCCTAAAATTTGAACTAAGTTGATGTGAAGATAATGGTTGAACAATATAAAGTCATGCTTAACAAATATATATATAAAGAAAATTGAAATAAAGTTTACTCCCAATATAACTCAAGCACCATAAATAAACGAAAAACTCGCATGTCTAATTTCTATGGGATTTTTGAAATTGGAAGAGTGCATTCTATGAAAATCTTTTCATATCTTCGTACGATGAGCGTTGCTTCGGGTGTACTTTTCGTTATACCTTCAGTACTCTATAAATTTTGTCCATGGAGCTTCTTAACAGGAACTTTCAACTTGTTAAAATTTCTCAGAGAAATCGAGAAAGCACACGTTCCAGTGCTCCCTGCAGTCGCAGTGGCAAATTGATGTTTGAAAAATATGAAACAACAAAACTTGATATTCCTTTTACCATATATTCGCTAAGCTAAGAATTCTTTTGAAAAACACTGATCACACTTTTAAAATGCTTTCTGCTCATACTGATTTTATCGAATTCTTTTAAAGTGCATATGAGAGGAGAACAACATCGGTATACCATGTTCACATACCTCATCGGCCGACGGAGGAACACGGCAAATAAACCGCATTTTCGGCACGAAAACAAGCCCTAACGATATATAGGTACATAGAAGAACTGAAAATAAATGTATGAGTAAATTGCAAACAAGTCAAAGTCCAAAGGCAGTGCAATCTATCACGACCAAACTGCATTATTTTAGTAGGGTAGATATGGGTTATCCCAAAATTACCCCTACCATTTTTTTTTTATTTCTGAGCATTTTACTCTTGATTTTTGTACTTTTATCACTTTTCTAATGTAGATAAAATGGATAGAATAGAATAAAATCTGTACAGCATCAAAAAAGGAACAGATATGTGGTGGTGTATTTTTTGCGCAAACTGGATAATATCCATATTCACTACAGCCGGCAAGAGTTGAT